GCGGTTTACAAAATTATTCGATTTATATATATATTTTTGACAATTAGTGAGATAGTCAAGCAAATAGCAGGGGTCTACGATCTCTGACGTTGTTTCTCTGACGTTAAGAAGATTTCATAAAAGCGTGGCGCGCTTTATACGCGCTATTCTCATCGTAATCATAATAATTACCACCGCTATCTTTAATGCCCTGGAAGAGGATAATGGGAGCGGCGGCGGTTATTACGGCCGCTCGTATAAACCGCGATCTTGATATCCCCCACTCGAACGTTTCCAGACAATGTCAACGTTCACGTTCCTTCTTCCCCTCCCCCTTAGTCTTTTAAACTCTTTTAAACTCGTTTCGATTTATTTAATCCCGCTTCGAAGCGAAAATTTTGTTCCCGAAATTGAAAATCGGAATTCTCTCCTTCGAAACTTGGGCAGGATTCTTTGCAGAATGGTTCCTGCAAAGGCGGGGGCAACTGGAAGACATAAAATGCGCGGGGGCCAAGTGCGGCAAGCCGCGCTACTCGTAAATCAATCGAAACAGGAAGAGGCGTTGTTTGCCTTCGCTGCGAGGCTTATTATTCATCCCCCCCCGACCGATTTTCCTCCTCCGACTCGAAACGACTCGATACTCGTCCCCTTGAACCCGATCATCCTGACGATGGCGCTAATAAAATCCGCTCCACCCTTCCATTTTGCCCTCTTCTAAAAGGACCTTTCGTCTCCGATTATATACTTTTCCAATGATATTCCCTCGAACGGGACAATTCTCGAGCAAGTGTTTCTGGCGGATAAAGCGTTCCCAGAAGAAGCGCATCGAGGGCTCCTCCTCGACCTCGGCAACGACAACCTCGACGCATTATTTAAGGCTGCACCCGTTTCCGTTTCGCTCCGAGACGCACCCTTATAAAAGCTTTTACGACCGGAAGTTGACCCCGCGGGGGCGCAAGGTATACGGGTATACCTTATAGCCGTCCCTGTTGCGAAACCGAGACCAGAGACACCTAATTAAACACGAGCCAGCGTGCTCCTCGTAAAAAATTCTTCCTTCGAATCTTTCCCTTCCCTTTTCGCCGAGCGAGAGACACGGTAATTTCCCTCGATTTTATCGGCCGCGTTTGAGCGAAAACTGAGCGTTCCGATCGCAATCTGTCAAAGACACCGTGCAACAACGTGGCGACAACGGTACCGCCGGTTTCACCGTTATCGCCGTTCCTTATCAGCCGGAAGGGAGCGAGTTATCTGAATCTCGGAGGCGGCAAGGAAAAAGAAGAAGAGGAAGAAGAAGAAGAAGAGGAAGAAGAAGAAGAAGAAGAAGAAGTGGAAGAAGAAGAAGAAGAAAAAAAAAAGGAGCGTCGTCGCCGTGCATCGATAATTACTCGTCGTAAAAGTAACATGGCGTTGAAACGACACACTCTCGCCACACGCTTTCGTTCTCTTCGGCGAATTTTACGCTCACCTCTCGTTTCCGAATCGACTGTTCGAGCTCGTAAACCCCTCCCTGCCTCCGCGCGTTCCTTCCTCCTGAACGCGGCGTACGATCAAAACTGAAACTTTCCTCCCCAGTTAAAAACTCCTGGTTAAAAGAGGAAGAACAGAGAGGGGGAAGAAGAAAAAAAGAAAATAAAAATAGGATGGAGAGAGCGTAGTAGCGTAATATGATAATAATGACAGTAGTAAAAATGGTATCCCGGAAGAAGGATTATTTCGATCCTCATTACCTCGAGAATCGAGATGATGAATCGAGGCGCGCGGGGGTTTCTCGATCCCTAACGATAGTTAATCGTTGGGACGATAAAAGGACGCAACCGTGTCCCGCGTTGGATGGATGGTTTCTCGCGGAGGGGAGGAGGTGGCGCTAGAGAGCGCGGTGCGCGCGGGTACATCGATCATCGGAGGACGCGGGTTGCGCGTCCCTCCCCCTTGCCTCGAAGAAGAGGACCGCAAAGTAGAGCCGATCGACCGTCGGCTGTATCAGGAATTATTATTCACCGGCCGTCAGTGGATGAGAAGGAGAGGGCGGGGCCGCGGAGCATGCATCATCGAGAGCAAATTCCGCTCGCCCCCTCTTTATTTTCACGGTGGTGGTGAAGGATAGGGGGAAGGGAGGGAGATGGAGCAACGGAGGCCGGTTCTCTCGTGGATCTTCACGTGGCTGCCGTCACTC